TACTATTCCCTAAGAATACTTCGTCTTTTAGTATGCATTGTGTATATATAACATGTTACAGGAATATAAGATTGTATAAGTATATCAAATAATATATTTGGATTTGTTATGAATCGTTTTGTGATGCTATATCTGATTTCCAATTTGCTACCAATATGAAAAATTTAGTAGGAATATGTGCTTCAGAAAAAACAGACTGAAATGACCAAATGAAAATTTTCATTGGTTAACACTTAATTACGGCATCTCCAAGTCACCATGAGTAAGAAACAGATCAAAAGAAACTAATTTCTGTATTTTGGGCTAGATTTTTTTTACAGAAAGTAATACTGATTGATCGAACCAACAATTAGAACTTTGGCCCAATTAAAAATTAAACACCCCCTTGAATTAAAACCGGCGAGCATCTAAAGACCGAGACTGGATATGAATGCACCGATTTTTATCAGCTGCGACTACTTTGGTCTGATATTGCTATCTCTCGCCTGGTTTTGTTATCAGCCCGGCGGCGCTAGATCGATAGGATCACCATCTCTTGCATGTATCACAATATGCCGCACTCTTTTCTCCTTAATTAGATTTGTATGTGTAGTTAAAAATTGCATCTGAAAATCTGATGTAAAAAAATCTTTTCTATAATTCATTTATGATTAGGAATAGATACAGAGAGTGGAAAAAAATGAATTACTAATATACTCACTTGGCCTGCTACGCTATTCTTCTAGCCGCAAGTCGATGTTCTACTCAAGCCATACGTAATATACATGACAATATTTAGTATTGGTATACGTAGTATATATAATTTCTAAGACGTGCTAACAAATCAACGTAACTTTCACTTACAGGTGCATTATGAAAGTTAGGTTTTTGTGAGTCGTGAAGAACTTTTGATGCTGAATTTGCACCATATATAGTAATGAGGCGGTTGAATTTAAGATGGACGTGAAAGGTGGTGATCATGCTTTAATTTGTAGGCTGGGTAAACTGTCGAGTTGGTTTCTTCAGCCTTCTAGAACAAATTGGATGCTGAGTCATTTTTCACAATTTTTGCTGTGTCAAGCTTTGTGATACGCATATATACACTGTAACTGTTTTTTCTAAGGAAAATTTTACGGTGCACAAGTGTTGTGGGATGTTTTGGTGCATCCCACATTTGGCAAAATTTGATTGGTAGTATAATCCACCTCAGCTTGGTTAATTAAAAAAACGGTTTTTGCAGAGAGGTCCTTCCCAGATTTTTAACAACTCTTCTTACGCCGAAAAAAAATCCAGCTTTATCTTTGTAGCGAAGGAGTCGGAAGAACGAAAATCAGTGGAAATGGCCGGAGGAACGAAAGCCGGGATCTGTATGCTCTCTGCCTCTCTCTTCACTGCTCGACTGCTCAGTTCTCACCAACGAAGGACGCCGGACGGTCGGAGTTTTGTGTCGTACGGGAGTCCCTCGCTGGTCTCAACTCTCGTTCCAGGTTAGTACGACCATCTCATCTCGTTTAACGACATGATATATATGGCGGTTTAAAGTTTGTGTGTGTATATATATGTGTCCACCTTGATTTCTAGCATGTGACTACCTTCTGTTAATGAGTTCATCAAGCAATTGAAACAGGTTATAATTTCTAGCTACTCTCAGTACTAGCTTTTCATCTCCTTCATATGAAATAGTTAAGCATATGATTTACCGTTGTGGATGAATATACAAAGTGATTATACTTTCTTTTATAATTTTACTATAACCGGCAATTTAAACATAAACATGGTATGTATACTTTATAAAATGATTTATACCAATTGAGCAGGGGCATCGAAGACACTTGGTTGTGTTTTGCTAAAAAAAAAGTAAAAAGAACTAATCATCAGCTGCCTTATAAAGTCAGTTTCACCGATTTGTCGACCTGAAACCTGGAGTAGAACTCTGCAAACACATTTTCCACCACTCACAACCTAGTAGAGAATACTCCAGAGTTAATTAAACCATAAGAGATTCAACAAACATGTCATGAGTTGGCTGATGTATTTCCATGTCTAGTGTCTTGTGGTTTATTAATAAACATAATCCTTGACAGGAGTTTGACCTATGGGGGACCACCAATGGCATGAAGCTCACAATGCTGCTGCTCATGGTATTTGTTGCGGGAATTAAAGCGTCCAATAAAAAAGCATTATTCTCACCCACACCCAACGATGGTTGCCTCTCAATTCTCACTTAAGTAGTACAGCCCCCATTTATCCCACTTAGATCTAGTATTACCCTTGACTAATCCTCCAGGGAAAGATACTTACCCACACAAACTGCCACAAATGGAATTCAGGAGGTGTTGTTCTCATTATCAGGTCTTGCCAACTCTTTGATAAAAGCAAAGGCCATGTGTGGAATAATATATTAGTCCTAAACACAGGACAGTTGAATAGTACCCCCATAGTTCTTCATAACCCGTGCCTAACCAAGGGTTCAAACACACACTCAAGAGATAATACAAGAACAAAGAGACTTTAAAAAACTGACAAATATATGACCGAAATATAAATAAGGGGACAAAACTAAACTGTGACTTTCGAGTTTTTCATATCATTTACACTTCAGATGTTCAGAAGTCTCATATGTGTTACTTCAAGTTTTTGCTATATGATTGAATAAAAAGTCTCCCTTGTTGGTCCATTTTAAGTAATCCTGCTTTATTGTTTTGCAGAGAACATGCCCTATCTGTTATATTCATGGATGAAATTGATAGCATTGGATCTGCTAGAATGGATTCAGGAAGTGACAATGGTGATAGTGAAGTGCAGCGCACTATGCTGGAGCTTCTTAACCAACATGATGGATTTGAGGCATCAAACAAGAATACAAGATCAAGGTTATTAGAGAGCATGAGCTTTATTTTGTGTGTGTTTGCTATGTGCACATGCGTGCATATATATATATATATATATATATGTATGTATGTATGTATGTATGTATGTATGTATGTATGTATGTATGTATGTATGTATGTATGTATGTATGTATGTATGTATGTATGTATGTATGTATGTATGTATGTATGTATGTATGTATGTATGTATGTATGTATGTATGTATGTATGTATGTATGTATGTATGTATGTATGTATGTATGTATGTATGTATGTATGTATGTATGTATGTATGTATGTATGTATGTATGTATGTATGTATGTATGTATGTATGTATGTATGTATATGTATGTATGTGTGTGTGTGTACATAGGTATATAGGAATAGTCTTGGGACCTAACTAATTTTATTCTGATTGAGACGTTATAACTGGATAGAGTGTTAGTACCGAAAAAGTTTTCAATACCCAGAAGTATAAACTTTTACAATAATAATAAATTATTAATAACCATCTAAGAACTCCCTATTCCTTAATAGCATGTACACAAGAAATGATGTCACTTGTAATTTGGTGAGGTAATTAGGTTGTGTGCACAGTTTTATGTAATGTTCAATACAGTGATGTCAATAGCGGCGCTATAGTGGCGCTATAGCGGAATAGCAGGGCGGAGCAGTAGCTATAGCGGGTGGTATAGTGACGCTATAATTTACAGGGCTATTATAGTGCTATTTTTGAGGGAATTTGGGAGTACTTTTTACTTTTAGATGTTTTTGGAGTGAAAAATAACCTCAACACACCCTCCAAAACACGTGGGGGCCAAATAACCCTACTAAAATAACTCAAAACAGAAACCAAGATCAAACATAACTTGTAGCATGCATCTCCATGTTAAGGTAGTTCAAGGCATCCTAACAACCATGATTTTTTATAATTAGATATTAATGACTTGGAATTTATCTGGAACTTAATATTTAATATTAAGAGGTAAGGTACTTAAACTATTTGTTTCTTTTGTTTAACACACTAATGCCTCTATTGGTAAATTAGTAAGTGTAAATTTCATGACGTTTGAGTACTATATTTGTGTTTTATCATTTCTTGGAATTGATATGTGCATGGCATGTAATTGTATGCACACATATGATATGTGCTTCACATATATATTGTCTAAATAGCAGTCATCCCGCTATCCGCTATACCGCTATAGCGTTTTCGAGGGTGATCGCTCCGCTCCGCTATCCGGGATTAACAACACTGGCTCAATATAGAAAGAGTAGAGAAATATAAAGTACACATTTAAACTAATTTCCATATATTTAAAGATTGCATATTGATCCTTAGAGTTAAAAAAATCATGTAGGCTTATTCCCCTCTCTAGTACTCGACCGTTCCTCATCATCGCCATTTCCGTTTTGTCTTCCCCAAGCATGCCAGAAAAGGAATTCAATAGAAATGTGTAGTCCACCTATCAATCAGCTTAATTATTTTGCAGAGAAAGATCATATCATTCGATTCATTTAAGGTGATTGCACTCTTTGATTTCTCCATTTGCTCCATTGTGCAAATGTTTTATACAGGTGGTGAAGGAAGCAATTTTCGGAGGCGTGGAATGACATGATTTGAAGTGAAGAAATTTGTGAGAAAGGCGGCTTAGGTTTACGCTTAATTAAGCAGGGAAATTTCATTGTCAATTGCTAGTAAAGCAGTAAGTATCTAATGAACCTGCAAATTGTTGGCTGTCATACGCAAAAGTTGTGCATGAATTAACTATAAAATGTCAAGTAAATTGCACATCTAGCCGTCAAATTGTTTAACATTCTGTAATACCTTACAAATGTCAACACTCAACACAAATGGGATACTAAAAGTATGATTTCACCAATAGTGTTTGGCTGCAAGAGTGGGAGATTTGCAATTATATTACCCCATATTTTTGAAACTGCTTAAGTAATGTATTCAGGTCCACACATTCTTCTAATTTTTTTCCTTTTCCTTTTGTAATCTGGACTTGTTAGGAAAAACTGTTTACCTACTTCACTCATCAATTGTGCTTTCAACATAATAATATAGTTTAGGTTGAATCAATCCAGAAAAGCTTAATTGGAATAAAAAATATGAGAGATTGTCCCAACATGTCCCAATAAGAATATAAGATAACATGTTATACTTTCATTTTTTTCTTGTTCTGGAATTATATCAGAATTATATCAGAAATATATTTTGTTAAATCTAATATATTTTGTTAACATATTATAATTTGAGAAATATTATTTGTTATATTATTTGTTAGACATATTATGGTCATTCATCGCATCATACTCAGTGACAACTGATATGGGATGTTTGTTGTGCATCGCGTCCAAGAAAGCCTCTAACACCCATTTGTACGTCTCAATGGTCTCATCACCCAACAGAGCACAACCGAAAATAGTTGTTTGCGAATGATGATTACAACCAGAAAAAATAACCAACGGCTTGTTGTATTTATTCTTCTTGTAAGTGGTGTCAAAAGCAAGTACATCGCCAAAACATTGAAAGTCTGACCTACTGCGCCCATCTGCCCAAAATAAATGCTTCAGCTTACCATCTCCGGTGGTTTGGAACTTTGAATAAAACATAGGATCATTATCTGCCTTCCCTTCAAAATAACTCAACGTAACACGCGCATCCCCATCTTTAATTATGTCACGTTGTTTTTTATGAAAGTGATTGTATAGATCCCTCTTTGAAAAACCAATACCAGCATGCCCACCCTTTTGATCTAACAAGTATCCCATTATGTGACAAGTCCTAACTCCAAATGAATGCAAACTATCTACCTGAGCTTTATCTGCCTCACTTAAAGCACGGTATTTCGGAATCAAATGGACATCTGCAACTGGGGTCAACACATGGTTATGGGTCTCTTGAAATGATGACACTTTCCACTTTGATGTATTGTAATCTAAGTGGACCTTAAGCTGAGCTTGACAATTAGTGCGTGTGAGAGGTCGGTGTTCTCTTTTTCTATTCACCCTTGCCAAGTGGACTTTACTACGCAAACCCGCCCTATTGCATACAAGCAAACGTCTGATAATGTTACCTTTAGGATCTCGACGAACGCAACTTTTTCTAATGACAAATCCGTGGCTGTTAGCATACGCTTCATAAAATTTAAAAGCATGCTCCTCACTACCAAATTCTAGACCTCTAATGTCATCGCATGTCAAACTAGTTATCATCTTATGGTGGCAGTGTGCTTCATCATTTGCTTTGACAACATTTCCAGCATCACTATAATCAATTTTGCTTTGATTTTCAGCAGAAGCATCATCATCATCATCACAACTTGGATGATTTTCGACATCCAACAAACTCACTGAATCATCAAGGGAATCATCCATCTGCATTTTGCCACATATACATTACAATATCTACTTAAGAAATGCTAAAGTAAATAAGACATGAATATAGTACATGCTAATCCATCTGCACACTAAAATTCTTTTGGATGAGAAAAATCTGGAATTGGTTTGTCAAGTACTCAAGAGTCATTTCACATTGATTTTTACTACAACTCTAATTTTGAAGCACCTAAATTTATTGATTATCTCTAACAGGTATTTTCTGTAGTTGCAGATTTCATTTTTACCTAAATTTATTTTTCTTGAGTTTCTCCTAGGATTCCCCACACATGCGATAAAATATTTGTCCCTTAATCCCTTATCTTATATTTTTTTTCTAACTTTATTCCCCATTCTTCCCTAGTTAAAGTTATTAGAGACAATAAATTAAATCAACACAATGATCTGTTTTTCAGAGTCAATCACTAAATAGATATTAAACAACTATATTAATAAAAAAACTAAAAATTTAACAAATATTGATGGCTTGATCCACAAAATCAATAATTAACCTATTTTGTTTTAGTTTATATAATGTACTACATACGTATATTCATAGTGTGTGTATTGCTAACAAACAAGCATTCCTTTCCTCTACTAAGTAGAGGCAGCACAATTTTCAAGAAATTACAAAATTTTAGGTAGAAAGAATCTGGAATGGCACACATAGATTAATCTAATAGAAAGAAATCATGTTTTGAATTTATTTCTATGACATGTGATTAATTGACTTGGGAGTTGGCTGTGCCTCTACACTAAATACCAACTTCTGGTGATCTGCCCTCAGTCCATTGGTGACGTACGTGACAAAATGGGTCAACGCAAAAACACTGAAATTTTAGCAATAATATATAGTCGTGGGATATATTGGCAAGCTTGGCTTGTCCTATATGCAGAGTAGTTGAAAAAGAAGAGGTAATTTGTTGGAGGATATCAACAATAGGGCACAAAAAATCCTAGAGAAATGGAAATATATAAAGTTCAAAGCTTATCAAATCATCATAAAATACATTTTTTACACAATCATCATAAAATACATAAGAAATATAATTTTCCACATTAGCAAAAACTCAACAAATTCCATTTCTAAGCACTGAAAACTTAATATTAAAAATATTAAAAATAAAGCATGTTAAAAGGGTAATTAATAACCTTGCTAAACTCTGAAGCTTAGGTTGCAAAAAACTCTTAACTCTCTTGGAAGTAAGAAAACATGGGAGAATTTATGGTTGGGGTAGTGAAATATCTATGAGGCATGCTGGTATGGCAGAAGTTGCATCAATTTATGTGCATGGAGCTGATCAAGAAAAGGAAATTGGGAAGTAGCCTCTTCATAAAGCCCCTTTGTAGGCAAATGATAAAAAAAAACAGAACAGGTTCTGGTGAGAAGGTATTTCATAATACCATTGGTAGATAAACTTGTTTGAGATATAAGATATGTGAATGAGGTTTGGTTTTGGAAAGGATCCAGTCTAATGCACCAGCAGTCCATACTAAAGAAGAAAGTGATTGAATATTAGAGAAAACGATATATGATATTGCAAATTGGGAACAACTTCTCATGAGTTAACTAGTGCCGAGCAGGGGGCACACTGAACCCAGGCCATAAGGGCCTACTGTTGTCTTGATGTTGGTAAATGGGATGATATGGATACAGACAGAGTGCGTTTGGGAGACTTATATTTAGGGAATAAGTGCTTTCAAGGGGACCAAAAGTAATGTTACTCAAAAATAAATTTGGGCAGGTCCTGTCGAAACCATGGCAATAGAGAAGATGTGATGGGCTGGTAAGAAAACCTGAATTAACTCTCTGCATTTTTCTCACTTAAAACACGGAGATAGAAATAAAGCATGCTAAAATAAACACACAGATATGGTATGCATATCATCATCTACCAAATCGCTTTGATGTACGAATCATATGCCGGTTATATTAAAATTATAAAAGAAAGTATAAAACACATTATGCACTGGTTATGACTCATGATGCTTCTATTATAGTATTAAAATAGAAATTAAAGACAATTACTACGTGATCACTGTAGTCATTGTGGAAATACCACTATGGTCACTTCAATGTAAAATGGAATCCACCATAGTCGTCACAGTCACTACAAACATATCATTATGGTGGCACTGCCCATCGAAAGTCACAGTTTTGTCTTCTTATTTATATTTCGGTCATATATATATGTCAGTTTTTTAAAGTCTCTTTGTTCTTACACTTTCTCTTGAGTGTGTGTTTGAACCCTTTGTTAGGCACGGGATATGAAGAACTATGGGGGTACTCTTCAGCTGTCCTGTGTTTAGGACTAATATATTATTCCACACATGGCCTCTGCTTTTATCAAAGAGTTGGCAAGACCTTATAATGAGAACATCACCTCCTGAATTCCATATGTGGCAGTTTGTGTGGGTAAGTATCTTTCCATGGAGGATTAGTCAAGGGTAATACTAGTAAAATCATTTTATGCCCCTGCTCAATTGGTATAAATCATTTTATAAAGTATACATACCATGTTTATGTTAAAATTGCCGGTTATAGTAAAATTATAAAAGAAATTATAATCACTTTGTATATTCATCCACAACAGTAAATCATATGCTTAACTATTTCATATGAAGGAGATGAAAAGCTGGTACTGAGAGTAGCTAGAAATTATAACCTGTTTCAATTGCCTGATGAACTCATTAACAGAAGGTAGTCATATGCTAGAAATCAAGGTGGACACATATATATACACACACAAACTTTAATCGGCCATATATATCATGTTGTTAAACGAGATGAGATGGTCGTACTAACCTGGAACGAGAGTTGAGACCAGCGAGGGACTCCCGTACGACACAAAACTCCGTCACTCCGACCGTCCCGCGTCCTTCGTTGGGTGAGAGCTGAGCAGCGAAGAGAGGGGCAGAGAGCATCCAGATGCCGGATTTTCGTTCCTCCGACTCCTTCGCTAAAACGATAAGGCTGATTTTTGTTTCAGCGTAACAAGAGTTGTTAAACATCGGGAAAGGACTTCTCTGCAAAAAACGATTTTTTAATTAACCAAGCTGAGGTGGATTAGAGTACCAATCAAATTATGCCAAATGTGGGATGCACCAAAACATCCCACAACATGGATGCACCGGAGAGCTCCCCTTTTTCTAATTGGAAGTGCCAAGTTTTTTGCCTAAATGTACGGCATTTCATATGGCATGAGATGTCACGATGACTTCATGAATTGCGCCCATGCCAGACAGTGGCGGATCTACCATGTTAGTTTTAGGTGTTCAAATATATTTTTTAAATTTTAGGTGTTCAAATTTATTTATAAAAAAATCAAGAAAATTATCTATGTATTTTTTTTACAATTTTTTTTGGGGTGTTCACATGAATACTTTTGAACCCATATATAGGTCCGCCTCTGATGTCAGACGATTGTGTTTTTATATATATTAAGATAACGTTAAATTTTAGTCTTTTACAGTTTTTTTATCAAATCTTTCTACAATTCAATTAATTAAAATTCAATTGAGTTTTTCCTCTTAGAGTTTTTTTCAGAATCTGAATTCAGGAATCACTACACCGTTATTTAGGAAAAATATGGTTAGGATTCAATTTATAGGAGAAGTTACCAGAATTTAAATGTCATTCCCAGTTATCCGAATTTAAGTAAATGTGGTATTCGTTGTTAAAATTGACGTAACATTTTGAGTCTTTTGTAGAGGAAGTGGTCCATCGATACACGTTTTCATCGGTAAAGTTAGTCCATAGATACCAAATAAATGTACATTTGATAATTTCAATTTAATAGATAATAATTGTATGGCATAAATAAAAATGTTTCTAAAAAAATGATAAAGTTTACACTTTTCATGCCACACATTTATTGTTTGTAAAAATGATTTTTTTCGACTAGTATTTTTATCTGTACCCTAACTTTACAAACAAAAGATCTTGGGGGATTGATAAATGTGTACAAAAATATGATATAAAACCCCGTTGAAAACATTTTTGTTTGTACCAGACACTTGTTGTTCATAAAAGTTGTTTTTAAACCGACATTTTTTGTAGAAAAGTTTTTGATAATATTACTTCTAAAAAATGGTGGATAAAAATGTTATTAAATAATTGTAATAAATAATGTAGAAAAAGTAACAGAGAGTGTGGAAAAATATGAAAGAGGATATGAGAATTAGAAAAAATAAAGCTAAGGTAGTGTTTTCTAAGAGGAAAAATCACCAAAAAGGAAAAGTAGAGTAAACAAAAAAAAATTAAAAGAAAGGATGTTTTTACTTGGACTGTAATTTGTTGGTCTGGTCTGGTCTGAACTGGTCTGGTCTAGTCTAGTAAGGTCTGGTTTCTTTGTATTTTTATAACTATCCAAGTCTGGTCTGGTCTGAACTGGTCTGGTCTGGTCTGGACTGGTCTGGTTTGGTCTGGAACAAATTACAGTCAAAGTAAAAACATCCAAAGTGTAGCAAATAAAAGAACACAGAGAATACATACTCCCTCCATTCTTTATTAATAGTCCTCTTAGGCTTTGGCACGGGTTTTAAGGGGAAAATAATATGGGTAATGTAAAAGGTGTAGTGATTTGTGTTTAAATAATAATAAAGTAGGAAAGAGAAATGAGTAAGAGTAATAAAAGTGGAGGTAAAAAAGTATTTTGATTGAAAAAATTTACCAAAAAAGGAAATGAGGACAAATAATTAAAAACGTCTCAAAAAGGAATGCGAGTCAGTTAATAATGAACGGAGGGAGTATTAATCAAAAGTCATAAAAACGAAAGAGATTTTTGGATCTTTTAGATCTCCTAAAATTTCTTTGATTTAAATAACAAAAGTATAGTAAAAACTGGAGACTTTTTGACATTATAGTGGAAAAAAAGTAGAGAGTACATAAAAAGAAAGAAAATGGAAAGAAAAAATACAAAAAGGAGGAAAGAAGCTTAAGAACGTATGACAGAGTGGACAATAACAATTACAACGGAGCGAGAGTTTATCTCTCTAAATCTTCGTTCCTCCTGGGGCATTCACGCCGCTAGGGTTAAGCGCCTCCGCTGATAGGGTGGTTTGGATTCCGATTTTGGCTGTTGCCGGCCGGAGATCGTGTTGTGCAGGCAGGTTGTGAGCTTTTCGCTCGACTTCTATTCCGGAGCTCGCATCGCGGCAGGGGGGACAGAGGTAGGGCGAAGGAAGTCGACGGATGGAAGGGCTGGTGGATTCTTACAGGAAGATGGCTATGCGGGATCAGGAGAGCGAATTGAACTTTGATGAGGATCTGGCAGAGGAAGTCGCTAAAGAACAGGAACTACCCAGATTTCCGGCAGTGGGAGTGGTCATTACGGATCGGAAGATTAAACTTACTGGCTTTCAGGAATTAATGACTTCACTGTGGAAACCTGTGAAAGGTATGACTATCAAAGAGATCGGCGAACGCATGTATTTGCTGAATTTTAATCATGTTCTTGATATGAATCGAGTCATTGAGGAAGGTCCTTGGTTGTATGAACGAGATTTAATCCTGATGAAAGCTGTTCAGCCTGATGATATTCCTGAATCTATGAATTTGTTTGAGGCTAACTTTTGGGTACAGGTTCATAATGCCCCTATAAAGTATAGAAATTTAAGATCTGCTAGAAGAATTGGTAATTATATAGGCTCTTTCATAAAATATGAGATGAGTGATTTTGATGGAAAGCAGAGTTCTTATTTGAGAATAAGGGTGAGTATGGATGTTCGCCAACCCCTGAAAAGAGGCACAAATCTAACACAGGATGGCATAAAACATTGGGTTGACTTTAAATTTGAAAAGTTGCCCAGCTTCTGTTTTATTTGTGGTATTATTGGACATTCTGATAAATTCTGTCCCTTAAAGTATTAGGAAGGTTTTATAGCTGAAAAACTCTACGGAGTGGGTCTTCGAGCAAGTGGCAGAGTGAAGACCAACCCTACAGGGTTTAATAAATGGCTGTTTGATGGGGGCTCTAGCTCAGAGGGTTACGGAGGCCAGAGAAAGCTTGATCAAGGGGGGAGCACACGGCGGAGTCCAAGACTTGCAGAGATCCACTGACTGAGAACATGGAAAAGGAAGATCCATATGGGGATTTGAAAAGAAGACGTACGTGGGAAGACCAGGAGAAGGAAGGCTTGATGGGAGAGGAGATGGCTCTTGATGGGCCAAAAAATGGGAAAGGGGCGGGTCAGCTATCCTAGACCCGCCGAGAACTTTCTGGCTGGTGGTGAAGATGAATTTTGGTTTTGGTGTCTTTTCAGTTCTCTGTTTTGGTTTTTGTGATTCCAGCTACTTTATGTTTTGTTGTTTTTGTTCTTTTATTTACTGTGAGACTTTGGCATTAGGGCGGGGGGAGGAAGTTTCTGCGGTAACCGTCTTAAGCTCTTTATTGCCCACCATTGGTCTAGCGAACTATACTGCTTGTATATAGGTGGATAGCTCTCAGTCTCGGCCACGGGCGGATGGTTATTTGTGGTTTTTCTCTAGTTTGTTACCCTTGCTGAATGCTATTTCTATGAATTAAGACTTCTTCGAGCAAAAAAAAAAACGTATGACAGAGTACGTTTCGTATATATGTGGTGCATAAGACACGAAAAGAAAGAAGAATGCAAAAATATTAAATAAAAAATGATAAGATATGTCAAATCAATGGGTAACCTGTTGGAGAGAGTCGTCATCGGGTGACTTAGATCCAAATGATCGTTTTTTAATAGTAAGGGTAGTTATGTGATCTTTTTTTAGTAGAGGGGTTGTTGTGATTGTTATGATATAGTAGGTGGGTGTATTTGATCCTTTTTCCATGTTGTGATTGTTTTGTATTCATCATAATTTTTATGTATGAACATTTCAGGTTAAAGTTCCAAAGAGCGAACCATTTGCACATACGAAGAGTTCAACAACATGAACAATATGTGAATAATTGGAACAGGTTACCCTAATCAGGGTCCTGACAGATATATTTATAATAAGGAGAAGTTGCCAAAATACATAAGTCTCCTAAAACATACTACCTCCGTCCCAAAAAGAGTTGCAAATTTGACTTTTCTTAGTCAAACAGTCTCGTTTTGTTTACTTAATTAGGATGTCAATTTTTAATTATATTCTAATTTGGAGTTTACAACTTTGAAGAGATTTTAATGTAGTTTTTGAATATGTAAATTTTAATTATTAAAAATTGAATTAATTATCCATACGGAGGGTTGACTTTTATTATTGGTTGACAAAAAATTGTTGACTTTGCAAAACAAATTGGGACGGAGGGAGTATTAACTATTACACCCCCTCAAACTGTGCGGGAGATACAACGCGCAGGTTGTCCTTTAAAAAATGAAATTGCTGACTAGATAAACTTTTTGTAAAAATATCAGCTAACTGTAAATGAGTAGGGGCATATTTAACAATTAAATCACCATGAGCAACTCTCCCGAACAAAGTGGTAATCAATCTTGATGTGCTTGCTCCTAGCGTGCTGAACAGGATTGGCCGTTAAGTAAGATGCCGAAATGTTGTCACAAAAAAGCTGTACTGGAACTCGAACAGGAAATCCAAGCTCGTATAGGATCGAACGGATGTGAATGGTGTCCTGAACTGTGTAAGCAATGGCACGATATTCCGCCTCAGTAGACGACTTGGATACAGTAGGTTGCTTTTTGGACTTCCAAGAGATGAGATTAGGGCCTAAGAAAATAGCAAAGCCAGTTGTTGAGCGAGAGCTATCCGGACAACCAGCCCAATCAGCATCAGAATATGCCAAAATACATAATGGACGAGTAGAAAACTGAAGCCATAATCCATGATCAATAGTGTCGTGTAAATTTCTGAAAATGCGCTTGACCGCAAACATATGAGTGGTACGAGGAGCATGCATAAATTGGGACACTAAATGAACTGCATAAGTAATATCAGGTCGTGTCAAAGTTAAATACTGTAATGCACCTACCATACTGCGATACTCTGTGGCATCTGCCAGAAGTTCACCATCAGTGAGGGAGAGAGTGGTGCGGGTGGCAAGGGGAGTACGTACAGGTTTGACAGTGTGTAAATGGAAGCGGGAAAGCAGATCAGACACATATTTTTGTTGTGAGAGAAAAAGACCTGTAGGAGTGCGAACTGCCTGAACTCCCAAAAAATAATTGAGATCACCCAAATCTTTCATAGCAAATTGAGAAGCAATTAGATGAATAAAGGAAGCAAGAAGAGAGGAGGAATTACCAGTAATGATAATATCATCTACATATAGTAATAAATAGAGAATAGATGGACCCTGACGATAAATGAAGAGTGAGTTATCAGATTTGCTACAAGAAAAATTATGAGATAGAAGAAAACTACTGAACCTGTGAAACCAGGCCCTCGGGGCCTGCTTTAGACCATAAATAGCCTTACGTAAACGACAGACATGATGAGGAAACTGAGGATGAACAAAACCCCGAGGTTGACGCATGTACACTTCCTCAGTGAGGTGACCGTGAAGAAAAGCATTTTTAACATCTAACTGACGCATGACCCAACCAAAAGACACAACAAGTGTAAGAACAATACGAACAGTAGTGGGTTTGACCACCGGACTAAAGGTCTCAGAAAAATCTACACCAGCCTGCTGATTAAATCCTTGAGTGACTAAACGCGCTTTATGGTGCTCAATAGAACCATCAGAATGAAATTGAGTTTTATAAATCCACTTTGACCCAACCACGTTTTTAGAGTTGTCGAACGGAACTAAATCCCAAGTATTATTAGTGATAAGAGCATTAAATTCATTAGCCATTGCCTCACGCCATTTTAAATGCTTATGTGCCTCAGAAAAACAAGTGGGATCAGGCTGATTAACAATTGTTTGCAAATTAAAAATCGGTTTGGGCTTAAAAATTCCAGATTTGGCCCTAGTTTGCATAGGATGAACATTAATAACGGGGGCAGTGGAGTGAGCCGAGTTCAGGGAAGTGGTGACTGGGGAACTAACACATTGTCCTACGGGGAAAGAAGAGGAACTAACAGGCTGTCCTACAGTGGTTGTGGCTGACTGGTGGGGGGAAGGAGATTCGAAGTTGCTGGCTGGAGAGGTGTCAAAGCTACTGGCTGGGTGTTCAGGAGTAACTAAAGGTGATGGGAAGGTATTGGGCTGTCTGGGCGTGTTAGTGTTGCTAATGGGTCTAAATTACCCATTGCTAATATTGGTGATATCACATTATCTTCTTCTAGTCGTCCTCTCGTTTTAAAATCTGTTTATCATGTGCCTCACATAAAATTTAATTTATTATCAATTCAAAAACATATTAACTATTACAATATCTAGTGTAAACTTTTAGATGTAGTATTAAATATGTAAACTTGAGCAGATTTGATTGTATTTCGAGTACCATTGAAATCGAGTTTAACATTTCTTACAAGTTTTGTTCCATTTAAATGATTGTTTAATAAACGATTTGATATTGTTCGTCACAATTTTGTGGTGAATTGTTTATTTTTAACTTTAAATAGGCAATTTCAAACTAGAAAATATTAAAAAATCTTACAATTGGAGGCGCTTTTGAGGAAAAGTGCCTCGATATATTTTTAAAAATGTTGAAATCAGAGGCGCTTCTAAGAAAAAAGTGCCTCAATTGTTTCAAATTGGAGACACTTTTGATTACACAAATGCCGCACGCCAATAATTAATAATTGTTTTCCGAGGCGCTTTTTGCACCAAAAGCGCCTCTAAACGACAATGCGACACAAAAACTAGAGGCGCTTCGAAGCGCCTCTAATGACCAATTTGAAGCGCTCTAATCACTATTTTTCCACTAGTGCCTCTCGCGACTGACCCAAATTGTGGATCGGCCTTTGCTTAGGAGCCATCCACTTAACAAGCAACTCTCTAAACATATAATACTCCCTCCCTCCCACTCTCAGATTTTCTCTTTCCTTTTTGGATGTCTCATATAAAGATTTCCTCTTAAATGATAATTTAATCATCAAATATTAAAGTCAATACATCTATAACATCACAATTATCATCAATGACTTGATTATACTACTTCCATCCCAAAAAACTTTGTCATTTCATAAAATTTGAATCATGATTTTGATTAATACTCCCTCCGTCTCTTAAAACTTTGCCAAATTTTAAAAATGACGAAAGTAGTATTATATACCGATCACAACTATTTTTGCAAAATATACTTGAATAACATTATTTAATTATTGCCTAAATAAATGTGCCATTTTGGTGATTTATAGGTTGCTTCAGAGATAATACCACCCACAATACACATGCACATCATTTTTGTGAGGAGAGGAGAGTATGAATATAATACAACAACAGTGAGTGCATTTTTAGGTGTGAGGACAAAGCATTGGGTGATCAAATACAACACCATCCAAACCTTATTCTCAAAAGTGTTTGGAATCAATTAACATCAGAGATAAAAATAAAAATAATAATTACTATATATAATAATTAATAATAAACAGAGAGAAACAATGAACACAAATCTATCAAATATTTCAATTTACAATGGTTAAAACCGTTAAATCAAATTATAGGTCAATCTATCTCAAGTATTGGTCTATTATTTGAAAACATGTTTTCCATTCATTGACAATATCTTGCACGCGCGGGTGATCAGAGACTTATAGATGAAACGCTCAATATTATATATGAAAAATAGGAACTTAGTTACATATATGTTCCGCTATATATGTTGCGCTCTTTATATGTCACGTCCCGGACCGCATCCGTGCCACGTAGACAACCGCCGTACAACCCAATAAGAACAACGTAGTTCATTCTTATTAAATCGTACAAGGCGTCTGATAGATTCTATTGCCAAACCGATTAGTAAACTCATACAATCAACATCAATATATTACTCAAACAAATGCGGAAGTAAAATATGTTTAGTAATTAGCCACACGTGGCAAATATGAGCACGCAGGCCCTTCGATAGTTTAATAGAAAACATTGTTCAAATATCCATGAGCATTTTCATAAGTCAAATAAGAATGGAAGCACGAACCAAGTCTTCCTTATTCGAAGTCCACCCTATGCAAAGGTGCAGGTAGCAGGACTCTAGCCTTAACCTGAAAAATAGTGAGGGCCCCCGGAGGGGTCAGTACTTCACATAAAGAAGTACTAGTGACAAGCAGGCTATATGAGGAATAACTAATTGATATTCATGTAATTTCCGATTGTATGTTTTTATTTTTAACTAATTTTTATTAGTTCTAGTTGTGGAAATTACACACTTTTGGTGTAATACTTTATTTTCATTTTTTATTTGTAATTTAGTTAGATTAGGATTTTTCTGAGCTAAACAGGTCAAAGATCATCTAAGGGATCAAGATTGGACCTTAAAAGATCAAGGAAAGTGCAAGGAGACAAGAAAGATTTCGATTTGGAAAAAATACTCATGTACCCGGTCGGGTATTGCCTATACCCGATCGGGTAATTGCTTGATTCGACTGTCCAAATCAAATCCGAAGACAAATGATCGTGGGAGCAAATTTTCATAAAGATTTGTCACATACCCGATCGGGTATATACCCTTACCCGATCGGGTATGCCCAGAAAAGTGACTTTCTGGGCAATTTCCTGAGATACCCGATCGGGTATCCTATATACCCGATCGGGTATCAGACCCTACAGCTCCCAAAAGCCTATAAATACACCCCTTTCCTTCACAATAAAATGACGGATTCACATATACTCTTTAGCTCAGTTTAGATTAGTGTTTTCTTTATATTTTCTATCATGTTTAGTCTCCAAATGAGGAGCTAAACTCTTCCATCTTGGTTTTGCTACTTTGAAGCTTAATGAATTTGTAAGTTGTGAGTTATTCTCTTTAATCTTCTTCCTTGAATATTAATTCTTCCTTTAAATACTATTTATATATCAATGTTGGGGAGTGTTACTAAGATGACAATTAGTTAACATCTTGACATTAGTTATAGTAATAGCTATTTCTTCCTCTATGTTAATATTGGGGAGTGTTACTAAGATGATAATTAGTTAACATCTTGATATTAACTATAGTAGGATTCATCTTCTTTAATATTCTTCCTTGAGTATTAATTAATTCATATTCATATTTCATATTAATATTTTGAACATTACTTAAAGGATCAACTAGTTTTATTTCATATATTAATTACTACTAGAATCAATCGGTTAATACGCTTGTTATTAATTCGGTTCTTTCAATGGTAGTAAAATTGGGTTGTTAATGCATGCTTCTCATGGTTAATAAGCCAAGGGGAATTAATTATATTGATTAAACCAATAAACCGCTTGTGTTGAGGTTATCAATCTCAATCGTTTTCATCTTAAGTTTATTGCTACTATCAGGTTAATATATGGCGCTTGTTCTACATTGACTCGATAGTAAGTTTTATTAATGAACGCATCTCGTTATTAATAACTACCCTTGATGAACTGGATATACTCCTCGATTGAGTATTTGAGAGGAAGATAGTTAAAGATATAACCGGGATCGACAAACATTTCATTAAGTGGATAAAAGCAAAGCCAAGTCTTCTTCTCATTAATTAAACCACATAACTCGTTCTTCTTCGTGTTTAATTTATTAAACCAAATCAAACTAAAAACCCCCATTTTGTTACTAGTTCTATAAAAAGAAAAGTATTCCTTTCCTTGTGGATACGAATCTTACTACGCTATACTACGTATAAGTGTTGTATTGTATTATTATTTTGAGTGCACATCACGACAAAGTGCACGTCACTAATGTTTCAGACATGAGACCCAAAAATAGGATGATACATATATTTATAGTTGTAACCATTGTTACCCCATTCCCAAGATAATACATACTGTATATACTTGTAAAATACTTGACCTGTAGGTCGTTTTCTCACAAAAAGTCTTTTAGAGATAAGGTACTTACCCAACCTTTCCCCTTTCATTCCTGAATGCCTAGCTCAAAGGCTATATTCTACCTTCATAATATCCTACCGAGTTTCGGGAGTGTTTACCGTCCCAGGGATACTCAACCCCAACCGAGTTTTAGGATCATTTACCGTCCCGAGGATACTCAACCTCAACCGAGTTTTAGGATTGTTTACCGTCCTGAGGATACTCAACCTCACCGAGTTTTAGGATTGTTTACCGTCCTGAGGATACTCAACCTCACCGAGTTTTGGGATCGTTTACCGTCCCGAGGGTACTCAACCTCAACCTTATTCCTTACCAACCCTAACTTGGATATGGCTAACCTTTCATTCACTTAACTATGGACAATACCTAGTCCTATAGTCATGTAGCAATCCTTAGTAACCAACGTGGACGGGTCCCACCTGATCGGTCCACGTTAACCTACTCAAAAACTACCCATTTTGAGTATAACCCAATACTCGATCGAGTACCCCCTATACTCGGTCGAGTACAGGAGACAGTAGCCCGTAAGGCTAATTTTCCATGCATACTCGATCGAGTACCTACCCATACTCGATCGGGTATAGGAGACAGCAGCCCTTGGGGCAAATTTTCAGCCAATACCCGGTCGGGTATTGTAGTTGACTTGGCGGTCAACGCCCGTTTGACCGCTCAAACGGAGTCCGATTAACGTGAAATTTTTCATGCATGTACTACTTGAAGTCCTTGATCCAAAAATACCTGTTTTGGCCCTTGGAACCTCATACATATCAATTTATATGAATTTCACTAATCAAACCTACATTTCATGTTTTCCAACTATGTTATGGTTTCTATCATGACATAACACATACTTTACTACCATTAATCAATTCATAAAACATGTTCTTGATTAATTTAGGTAATCTCATGCCTTACGCAAAAGTTATAAAGCATATAGCCGTCTTCTCACCTTAATGAAGCTTATGAAGTTATAGTCTCCCCGATTTGGCCCCGGTGGAACTCCGGCGAACTTCAATGAACTCCGGCGCCCCTTTCAACTCCGTGAAAGTCCTTGAAGTAACTTATACAAGTTAACAACAAGGTTTCATCATCATGAAACCCATATCAACACAAATAACCTCTAAAAGGTTATTCCCCGGCAACCCGTCAACTTTGCTCTCAAAGTTTGTTTTGGGTATGAACCAACCCTCCAACTCCCATTCTACACTTTTACATGTGTAGAACTATAATAGGAGTATGAAATATGATTATAGTGAAGAAATGGGGTTAATGAAGTCATTACCTTATTAACCACAAGTTTTCCTTCTTTTTTTCTCTCCTTTCTCTTCTTCTATTTCCTTCCTTCTTCCTCCCCTTGCTTAGGTGCGTGAATGGTGGCTTCTATGGAGTATTTTCAGAGCTTCGCTCACCAATGAGGATGGTATGGACGAGCTGTATGAGTTGGGATGATTGAGAATGCCTTTTTGGCATTTCTCCCAATAATAATATGGGTGAGGTCCACTTCCTTTGTTGATTGGTCTTCCAATCAATTTCATCTTGCTCCTTCACAGTATTGTGCGGCTCCTCTTGCTCTTTGCAAGACCAAAATACGTGGGGTGGCCCCCACATATGTGGGAGGTCATCCCTTTGTGTCCCCAAGTGTACACTTGGTCCCGAAAGTTGTATTTTCCGGACTGTTTTAACTATATTTCGTTTCATCGGGTAAAACGAAATATCTCTCATTCTTCCAATCATTATTGGCTATAAGAATGAATGTATATTCCCCAACTTTTAATTTGGTGGTCTCCATAATTTATTATGGCTTTTTATCTGATATTACTTCGGTACCGATAAATGGGCTTTATATGCCCAAACGGTTACTCACGTCATTCCTACGGCCCAACCAGGATATCCACCATCATACACATATTATCTTGACCCAAGCGAATATAATATGTGGTCCCGATAATATCGAGCGGCCCCCACTTCCGGTGTGGGCCCCACGTGAATTTTACTATTCACGCAAAAGACATGATAAAAATTTACAATCACGTAAAGTGTGTTTATTCATTTCTCAGGGTTCAATACACAATTTGATAAAATACAAATACTTGGGGGCGGTGTTACAAGTTCTACCCCCCTTATTTGGGATTTCGTCCCCGAAATCCACGTGTCTAGTCAAACAGAAATGGATACTGTTCCCTCATTAGGGCCTCCACTTCCCAAGTTTGCTCCTCAACACGATCACTCTTCCAAAGCACTTTCACCATCGGTACCTCTTTGCTCCTTAGCTTCTTTACCTGCCGGTCCATGATCTTTACCGGTTGCACTGCATAGTGTAGGTCTTCTCGGATTTCCACCGGCGGCTTCTCAAGAATATGTGACGGGTTCTCGAGCATAGAAACATGAAATACGTTATGAATCTTTTCTAATTCTGGAGTTAACTGAAGCCGGTACGCTACAACCCCAATTCTTTCAATGATTTTGAATGGGCCTATGTATCGTGGGTTAAGCTTACCCCGACTGAGGAACCTGATGATCCCTTTCCAAGGTGACACCCTCAGAAATACCTCATCGCCGACCTCGAACTCCAATGTCCTTCGTCGTTTATCTGCATAGCTCTTCTGCCGATCTTGGGCAGCCTTGAGTCTATCCTGGATAACCCTCACCTTCTCCTTGGTGATTTCGACTAGCTCGATGCCCTCAAGTTTAGTCTCGCCTACCTCATACCAACACAACGGTGTTCGACATTTCCTCCCATACAATGCCTCGTATGGAGGCATGCCTATACTTGCTTGATAACTGTTATTATAAGCAAATTCCACCAAAGCCAATTGGTTGTCCCAACTTCCTTGGAACTCCAAGGCACATGCCCTCAACATGTCCTCCAAAATCTGAATCACCCATTCAGATTGCCCATCCGTTTGAGGATGGAATGCCGTGCTAAACCTCAACTTCATTCCCATGGATTCCTGGAACTTAGGCCAAAACCGTGATGTGAACCGTGAGTCTCTATCCGACACTATGGTGACCGGAACCCCATGCAGTCTCACGATCTCATCTGTATACAACTTGGCCAGTCGCTCAAGCGTATAAGTAGTGTTGATAGGTAGGAAATGAGCACTTTTGGTCAGCCTATCAACCACCACCCATACCGCATCGTAGTTCCTAACCGTCCGTGGCAGACCTACCACGAAGTCCATAGTAACATGCTCCCATTTCCACTCTGGAATGGTAAGTGGCTGTAATAATCCTGCTGGGTGTTGGTGCTCTGCCTTAACCTGCTGACAGGTAAGGCAACGACTCACATATTCTGCAATCTCTCTCTTCATCCCTGACCACCAGTAACTTTCCTTCAAGTCCCGGTACATCTTTGTTCCACCTGGGTGCATGGCATACGCAGATGAGTGAGCCTCCTCAAGAATAGATTTTCGGAGCTCCTCATCTGACGACACACACACACTCGCTCCCTGAATAGTAGGAGTCCATCTTCCCTCTCACGGAAACCCTCGACGGGTCCCACCAGCATCCGTTCCCGGATTTTCTGAATTTCCTCGTCATTGCCCTGACGCGTCCTGATTTCGTCTAATAATGTGGGTCTCACCTCAAATCTGGCCAGTAGAGCCCCATTCGTGGATATTTCCACGCGTGCCCTCAATGCTTGCAAGCATGAGAGTAAAACCCCTGATGAACTCTTCCTACTAAGAGCATCGGCTACCACGTTAGCCTTCCCTGGATGATATTCGATAATCAAGTTGCAATCCTTGATCAGCTCCATCCATCTTCTCTGCCTCATGTTCAACTCTTTCTGAGTGAACACGTACTTCAAACTTTTGTGATCAGTATAAATGTGACACACTTCACCGTAGAGGTAATGCCTCCAAATCTTCAAAGCAAACACCACAGCTCCTAGCTCAAGGTCATGTGTGGGGTAATTCACTTCATGCTTCCTCAGTTATCGAGAAGCATAAGCAATTACCTTACTCGATTGCATCTGTACGCACCCAAGCCCCTGGATGCTAGCATCGCTATAGATGTCATACCCCAACCCTTGCACGGGTAGGGCAAGTACTGATGCTTCAGTCAACCGCTTCTTTAGCTCAAGAAACCCCTTCTCACACTTGTCATCCCACACAAACTTAGCTCCCTTTTTAGTGAGCTTCGTGAGTGGAGATGCTATTATGGAGAACTTCTCCACGAATTTGCGGTAATACCCCGTTAAACCAAGGAAACTCCTTATTTCCTTCACATTCTTGGGCCTCTCCCAATTAGTGACTGCTTCAATCTTCGAGTTATCAACTGAAATGCTCAAGCCCGACACCACATGCCCGAGAAAACCGATCTCCCCAAGCCAAAATTCACATTTAGAGAATTTGGCAAAGAGTTGCTTCTCCCGCAGTGTTTCAAGCACGAGCCTTAGATGTTTCTCGTGTTATTCTTCGTTTTTGGAGTATATCAAAATGTCATCAATGAACACTATGACGAATTGGTCCAAGTATTGATGAAATACTCGGTTCATGAGGTCCATGAATGCCGCGGGGGCATTTGTAAGCCCAAATGACATCACTAGGAACTCATAGTGACCATACCTTGTACGAAATGCACTTTTGGGTATGTCACTCTCTTTGATCTTTAGTTGATGGTAGCCCGACCTCAAGTCGATCTTGGAGAACATGGTTGCCCCCCGTAATTGATCAAACAAGTCGTCAATCCTTGGCAAAGGATATTTGTTCTTTATCGTGACCTTGTTCAATTGACGGTAGTCGATACACATTCTCATTGTGCCATCCTTCTTCTTAACAAAGAGTACTGGTGCTCCCCATGGTGAATGACTCAGTCTAATGAATCCGTTATCTAATAGCTCTTCCAATTGAACTTTCAACTCTTGGAGTTCAGCCGGTGCCATTCGATACGGAGGAATTGAGATGGGTTTGGTGCCTGGTTCAACCTCGATCTCGAACTCAATCTCTCGATCCGGTGGGAGTCCCGGGAGTTCTTCGGGGAAAACTTCTGGGTACTCACTCACCACCCTCACTTCCGTGAGGCTCTTTCCTTTGCCCTCCTTGCCTATGACGTAGGCTAAGTAGGCCTGATATCCTTTCTTCATCATATGCCTCGCCCTTAAGGCCGATATGATGCAGGGATGGAATTTTCCTCTATCCCCCTCGAAGCATAGAGTATTTCCCTCGTCGTCTTCTAATTCTAACACCTTGGTGTAGCAATCTACCTTTGCATGGTGCTTCTCAAGCCAGTCCATGCCGAGTATGGCATCGAACTCAAGCATGTCTAACGGTACAAAGTCGCCCATTAGACGGTGCTCTCCTATCTCCACATTACATGAAGGATAGTAGTGCTTCCTCTCTACATCATCACCCAACGGTGTAGAGACCAACAGAGGTTGCGTCATCGCCGTTAATGTTATGTCCAAACCCTCGGCAAACGCTTCGCTCATAAATGAACGTTGCGCCCCGGTGTCGATGAGAATTCTCGCTTGTCTACCGTTGATCTTTAGTGTTCCTACATATATAAGTCATGTAAGACACACTAAATAACGTCCCGACTGAAAAGGACTTAGCGAAAAAATTTCGGCTTAGGATTATACTATACTCGGTCGGGTAGGACCCTATACCCGGTCGGGTATAGCTCGAGTCCTTAAGGAAAAACTCCCTGTTATCCTTGCCCGGTCGAGTACACACCTCGAACCCGTTCGAACTACCTATACCCGGTCGAGTATATGCCTATACTCGATCGGGTATTACCCAAATCCTTAAACAACAAGTTTCCTGCCGATTTTATTCGGTCGAGTATACACCTCAACCCGAACAAACTATCCATACCCGGTCGGGTATATGCCCATACCCGGTCGGGTATTACTCCAAGTTTTAAGCAAAAGCTCCCTGCCAACGTCGTTCGATCGAGTACACGCCTCGAAATCGAAAATTTACTAATACTCGATCGAGTATATAACCATACCCGGTCGAGTATGGCTGGATTTGCCAAAATCGAAGGGTCCTGCTAAACTTGCTCGAACGAGTACACACCTCGGGGATGTAACATAGCCCATACCCGGTCGGGTCTATATAGGTACCCGATCGGGTATCACCTGTTTCCTAAAGGTTTTAACTTTAAAACAGATGAAAAAATGCATGTGGAATCAAGGAGTTACCTGCAATAGAGTCCGGGTTGGCCCGAGCATCGGCCTCGGTCATTGCATACACCCGTGCTTGGGTTCTCCCTTGGTTAACGGACGCGGCGTTACTAGCCGTGGTCCCGCCCCTTCCCGTGCCGCCTTGAGATGGTCCCGCACGCCCCCTACTAGACGTAGGTCCTTCCGGGACTCCCGATGGTCCCCCTTCATTCAGCATCGGGCAGGAAAGTTTGAGGTGACTTGTGCTACCGCACTTGTAACACCGGGGTGGTGCATTGCATTTCCCGGCATGGTTTTTGTTACAGTTTGGACACCTCGGTGGTCTCACGCTCCCCGAGCTATGCCCCTGCCCTCCTGGACCCTTGCTCTTCTTTGCCGGTGGTTCCGGCGCTCTAAATGAACTTCCATTCCCGGCGTGATGTTTCCGAGAATGGTCTTGGGGTCCCGAATTTCCCCATCTTCTCTTCTTCGCCTCTTCGGCGTCTCTCTTCTTCCTTTCATTCCACTTGGCTTCCCCAAGTAGCCCCTGATCCACAATCTCACTAAAGGTCATGTGATGATTGTAGGTGGCCCGATCACGGATATCCAACTGTAGGGTATCCCAGAAGTTATTAGCCATGCGGTTCTCATCCATGGCGTACTCAGGTATGTATCGTGCCAAGTCCCGGAACCTCTGTTCCAATTGTCTTACCGAGCACCCATCCTCCTGTGTCAAGGTCATGTACTCCTTTCTCTTCTGGTTCTTCTCAAACTCTAAATAGTACTGGTTATAAAATTCTACCTCGAATTTCTCCCAGGTGGTCTCACCGTGGAACTTTCCCTCCACGCCTTCCCATCACACAGTAGCCACTCCCTCTAGTAGCCTGGTGGCAACCGTCAGCTTTATGTCAAGTCCGATCTGCATGTCCCTAGCGGCTTCATTTAGCTTCTTGATCCAGTCGGCAGCCACAGATATGTCACCCTTGCCATCAAATGACTTACACCCCAAGGCCCTCGCCTCCTTGAGTTATTTGGAGATTCTTACACAGAAACCTCCTCCCTGTACCCCCTGCGTCGCCACAGGAATGGCCACTGAAGCCCCCCGGCTTCCCTGACCCGAAACTCCCTGAGAGGCACGCCTAGCTTGGCGCCTAAGATCTCTCCTCGGCTTTTCCTTTTGATACCACTCAAACAATTCACCCATCTGGGCGAATTTGGCATCACTTTCATCATTGTCCTCATCAGTGTATGTGTCACCCCCATCGTATGGGGTCTCCTCATGTTCCGTCTCGGGAACATATGTAGAGTCATAATCCTCGGTGTGTGTCCCGTGAACCGAGCTAGCATGGCCATCGCTCATGGTTTGAGCCCGATGACCTCCACGGCCTCCACGGCCTCCACGGCCTCCGCGGCCTCCACGGCCTCTCCTACCGCCTCTCGAGCCCCGAGATGCAACCTGGCTAGCCCCTTCAGACGTCACCGGAGTTTGCCCTCTCGGGTTGTTCCTCGTAGCCATGCATCTACCCTCCATTTCTGAAAGAAATTTGGAATGAGCCGTTAGACTCGTATCAATGTCAATTGACGGAATAGTACAAAAGACACCACTTGGTCCAACATTATGGCCAACAAACTGTTAAGGGTACCGTCTTAACAATAAGAGGTCAATAACTTGGTTTCCAATGGTTCCTTAAGTACAAAAACTTTTGCTCATGGTTTTATTCAAAACTTTTTGATGATGCTATATTGAGAGGTTAATTATATAGTTTAGAAATCCGATGGCTCTGATACCATTTAATTATCACGCCTCGTACCGCATCCGTGCCACGTAGACAACCGCCGTACAACCCAATAAGAACAACGTAGTTCATTCTTATTAAATCGTACAAGGCGTCCGATAGATTCTATTGCCAAACAATCAACATCAATATATTACTCAAACAAATGCGGAAGTAAAATATGTTTAGTAATTAGCCACACGTGGCAAATATGAGCATGCAGGCCCTTCGATAGTTTAATAGAAAACATTGTTCAAATATCCATGAGCATTTTCATAAGTCAAATAAGAATGGAAGCACGAACCAAGTCTTCCTTATTCGAAGTCCACCCTATGCAAAGGTGCAGGTAGCAGGACTCTAGCCTTAACCTGAAAAATAGTGAGGGCCCCCGGAGGGGTCAGTACTTCACAGAAAGAAGTACTAGTGACAAGCAGGCTATATGAGGAATAACTAATGTTTCAGACACGAGACCCAAAAATAGGATGATACATATATTTATAGGTGTAACCATTGTTACCCCATTCCCAAGATAATACATACTGTATATACTTGTAAAATACTTGACCCGTAGGTCGTTTTCTCACAAAAAGTCTTTTAGAGATAAGGTACTTACCCAACCTTTCCCCTTTCATTCCTGAATGCCTAGCTCAAAGGCTATATTCTACCTTCATAATATCCTACCGAGTTTCGGGAGTGTTTACCGTCCCGGGGATACTCAACCCCAACCGAGTTTTAGGATCATTTACCGTCCCGAGGATACTCAACCTCAACCGAGTTTTAGGATTGTTTACCGTCCTGAGGATACTCAACCTCACCGAGTTTTAGGATTGTTTACCGTCCTGAGGATACTCAACCTCACCGAGTTTTAGGATTGTTTACCGTCCTGAGGATACTCAACCTCACCGAGTTTTGGGATCGTTTACCGTCCCGAGGGTACTCAACCTCAACCTTATTCCTTACCAACCTTAACTTGGATATGGCTAACCTTTCATTCACTTAACTATGGACAATACCTAGTCCTATAGTCATGTAGCAATCCTTAGTAACCAACGTGGACGGGTCCCACCTGATCAGTCCACGTTAAGGCTAAACCATACTCGATCGAGTACAGGAGACAGTAGCCCGTAAGGCTAATTTTCCATGCATACTCGATCGAGTACCTACCCATACTCGATCGGGTATAGGAGACAGCAGCCCTTGGGGCAAATTTTCAGCCAATACCCGGTCAGGTATTTGCCAATACCCGGTCGGGTATTGTAGTTGACTTGGCGGTCAACGCCCGTTTGACCGCTCAAACGGAGTCCGATTAACGTGAAATTTTTCATGCATGTACTACTTGAAGTCCTTGATCCAAAAATACCTGTTTTGGCCCTTGGAACCTCATACATATCAATTTATATGAATTTCACTAATCAAACCTACATTTCATGTTTTCCAACTATGTTATGGTTTCTATCATGACATAACACATACTTTACTACCATTAATCAATTCATAAAACATGTTCTTGATTAATTTAGGTAATCTCATGCCTTACGCAAAAGTTATAAAGCATATAGCCGTCTTCTCACCTTAATGAAGCTTATGAAGTTATAGTCTCCCCGATTTGGCCCCGGTGGAACTCCGGCGAACTTCAATGAACTCCGGCGCCCCTTTCAACTCCGTGAAAGTCCTTGAAGTAACTTATACAAGTTAACAACAAGGTTTCATCATCATGAAACCCATATCAACACAAATAACCTCTAAAAGGTTATTCCCCGGCAACCCGTCAACTTTGCTCTCAAAGTTTGTTTTGGGTATGAACCAACCCTCCAACTCCCATTCTACACTTTTACATGTGTAGAACTATAATAGGAGTATGAAATATGATTATAGTGAAGAAATGGGGTTAATGAAGTCATTACCTTATTAACCACAAGTTTTCCTTCTTTTTTTCTCTCCTTTCTCTTCTTCTATTTCCTTCCTTCTTCCTCCCCTTGCTTAGGTGCGTGAATGGTGGCTTCTATGGAGTATTTTCAGAGCTTCGCTCACCAATGAGGATGGTATGGACGAGCTGTATGAGTTGGGATGATTGAGAATGCCTTTTTGGCATTTCTCCCAATAATAATATGGGTGAGGTCCACTTCCTTTGTTGATTGGTCTTCCAATCAATTTCATCTTGCTCCTTCACAGTATTGTGCGGCTCCTCTTGCTCTTTGCAAGACCAAAATACGTGGGGTGGCCCCCACATATGTGGGAGGTCATCCCTTTGTGTCCCCAAGTGTACACTTGGTCCCGAAAGTTGTATTTTCCGGACTGTTTTAACTATATTTCGTTTCATCGGGTAAAACGAAATATCTCTCATTCTTCCAATCATTATTGGCTATAAGAATGAATGTATATTCCCCAACTTTTAATTTGGTGGTCTCCATAATTTATTATGGCTTTTTATCTGATATTACTTCGGTACCGATAAATGGGCTTTATATGCCCAAACGGTTACTCACATCATTCCTACGGCCCAACCAGGATATCCACCATCATACACATATTATCTTGACCCAAGCGAATATAATATGTGGTCCCGATAATATCGAGCGGCCCCCACTTCCGGTGTGGGCCCCACGTGAATTTTACTATTCACGCAAAAGACATGATAAAAATTTACAATCACGTAAAGTGTGTTTATTCATTTCTCAGGGTTCAATACACAATTTGATAAAATACAAATACTTGGGGGCGGTGTTACATTATAGGTAATTTACTTGTATTTAGCTTAACTTTTATGTATTGTATTTTGATAATTGGATAACATTATAAATTAGATGTTGTTATTATAATACTACGTAATAAGTTAATTTGCTAATGTAAACTTCTTTTTGGGATAGTCTAGTGGTTGTATACTTATGAATTTATTAGTCATTGTAACGCGCGATGCACGATTCGGATAGTGCCCATGCCAATGCATTTTCACTATTTTGTTTAACATAAATTTGTAGTTATATTTTTGCACTTCGTGTAGTATTTGCAAGAGAAGTAAAAGGGTGCAACTTAAAAAACAAGTAAGATGAATAAATGTGAATTTAGGGCCTCAACGGCTGAAGTTAGGGAAGTTTACAGATCTTAAGGAGAATATTGACCAAAGTGATTCATTTTAGAAAGTGTTGTTTTTGAATGGTATTTGTAGTGGTTCTAGTTGATCTTTTTAATGTTTTTGTTAAGTGTCCCACACCGGAAAAGTTTGGATAAACCAAATGCTATATTAACACATAGGCTACTTCTCCTATCAGGTTGACCTTTTAGGATGGAACCTCGTGTTTTAACATGGTATCAGAGTCAAATCGATCCATGGTGTGTGGCCCTTATGAAAAATGATTATATAAAAATGGCCGGATGAAAAAAATGGACTGATGAAAAAAATGAATGATTGCACGATCCAGACGAAGTGTCTGGTCGTGAGGAGGGGTGTTCAATGTCCCACACCGGAAACGTTTGGAAGAACAAAGTGTTATATTAATACATGAGCTACTCCTCCTATCAGGTTGACCTTTTAGGATGGAACCTTAGGTCTTAACAATTTTTAACTGCAAAACACTAATTTTAGGAGGCTTCTATATAGTGGTTAGTGGGCTAGTGGCCAATGACTTCTATATGGACTGACTTTTAGACTCGGGTCTATGAGATATCGCTCTGGGTAATATAATTCACATTCCTGTTGTCTCTTCTATTTAGCATGTTCGAAAACTACTTTAGAGAGTTGCCATTGCTCTGTTTTATTGAAATTAATCTCATTAACTTTTCACTAAATTATTATGTGTACGTTTACTAGTGTTAAAACAATAAATCAAAACTACTTTTTCATTAGTATCAATATTAACTACTTTTAACTCTATGAATGGTGAAATAATTTTACAAACTTATATTAACTTCAATGCACATCTAAGT